AAAATTATATCCTAAAGAAAGGATCGGAAGAGGAATCCTTACAGATGGTTTGATACTTGGTAATGTGATTGCTGGCAGGTGTCTGATACTTTTCCGATACTGTTCATGAGACAGAACATAGACTACTTATACACTCCAATGAACCATATCATTGTCTATATTCTCTCTCCTGACTTACTACCAACAGCGTGCCTAGGTAAAACTCTGCAGCTCATGAGTCTATCTCTCATGAGACGCATCCGCTGTTCCGGTGGCTGGCGTGCGCGGTCCGAGTACGCGTCGCTGCAATGCCTCAATCACTTACGTGTAATATCCCAGCTGAGCGACCCTGAACCTAGCTATTCAGGAACGACAGCAATCCAGTCCATGGTTCGCGCCTATGGTTTGTATACACACCACAGCGTCGCTCCAATCGTTCCCATATAATGTCTCAGTTCCGCAGTCCTTAGTCCATTACTAAGGAGCGGAAGCAGTTGTAAGGTTCCGGAATCACGCGAGTTCTGCATATACCTCTGGGCGCTATCCTGTTATTATCCGGCAATATTTAACCGCTTATGGCTAGCGCATATGGTCAGTAGACTCTTCACGTCGCTACCCCAATCGTTGCCCTGCAATGACTCAACCCGACAGAATTCACAGCCGTCTAGCGGTTCGAATTGCTGCAGCTGACCCCTATCATCCTCTTCGTAGGCGTTGGAACACTAGCCGCATGTGCTGGATCCGTCAAAGAATCTCGCCAGAACTTTCCGAGGACATCATCCCTCCACCGTGGTCGTCATCCCGTGAAGAAAAGCTCATCGAAATCGGTGCAGTAGGTAGACTCCTGGGACCAAATCCCTTCAAACAGTGGCAGGCTAAACGACCTACTCTTCACTTGTTCGTATTCTCAGACGGAGCTCTAATAGACGAACGAGCAGGTGCGAGCTTTGTCATCTACCGAGGTCTTACGCAAGAAATTGGACGAGGATCACTCCCGCTCGGAAACTCGGCAGAAGTGTATGATGCAGAAATTGCCGGGGCCACTGAAGGTCTTGCCGCAGCTCTTCGCAACATACTGGCCTATTATGCCTCTAACGTCACTGTCTGCCTTGAAAACTAGGTGGCTGCCATCCGTCTACTCTTAGATACGTCCACAGCGTCCAGCTTGGCGAAAATATTAATCTTTCGCAAGCTCGCAATGAACTGGAAAAGAAGATCACGCGGTCAAAATACGACGCCTGGGAAAGTGGCTATCCGATGGTGCCCAGGCCACGCAGGTATTCTAGTGAACGAAGCAGCCGACGCGCTTGCCAAAGCTGCCTGTGCAGCTCCAGCTCCACACTTAGAACTCTCCATTGCGAGGGCAAGGAGAGAAGTCAAAGCCCAATACGAGGCTTCAGTCGCACTATATTGGGCAGAAAATGCCCCTTCTAGGTACAAGGAACTAGGAATTGGGCCTAATACGAAAATCACTGTTGAGCTCGCCCGTCTAGGGCGACGTGCATAAGGATATCTACTAGCTTCACGGTCCGGTCATGGCGACTTCGCGGACTACCACCGACCGTTTCAGCATGGAAACGCCAATCTAACCTGCACGTGCGGAGAAGAGAAGTCCCCTAACCACTTTTTCTATTGCCACCTCGGGCAATACCAAGCTCAGCTCCACAGGGCACAGAACTCTAATCCCAGCGTATCCTGGGCACTTGCCTCGGCGGAGGGAGTTGATGCATTCAATAATTGGGTGCGTGTCAGAGATTTCTTCGAAAGGGCACAAGGAACAGTCTGATTCGAACGAAATCACGATCCGATGTAAACAATCTTCTCCTTTAATTTTTTATTTTGTTTTGTAAAATATTTTCTTGATTTAGTACCAACGGCATAGCATGAGATTCGTTGGACGGACGACCTTTATGCACGCTATAATCTTCGAGCGTAGGATGATAAGATCCTAGCTATTGTTTGCTTTGATGGGTCTGTGAGGACGCCAACACGTCGGGTAGTTTAATTTAGACTGGGCTAACCGGTACGTGAGGAACTCACGTGCTGTGCGCGGACACGACGTTAAATATTATAAATAAATGACTCAACCCGGTGCTCCCAAGTCCGAGACTCAGGAGCAGCAGCAGTTGTATCCAAGGTCAACGCACGACGTGCAAATGCACCTGTCGTCGCAGAGCCGGTCATTGACTAGTGATATCACAACAGTAAGAAGGGGGCTAGGAAGGTTGACAGACACTCTTAAGTATACACAGGTCTGCTGCGCCCGGCTGGCCGGCCTCGTCGTCATAGGAGAGCCCCGCACCCAGTGGTTTTTGAGCCTTTTCCCTGCAGCTACACACCCGCAAATGGCCATCGTTTCGTTGGCTGGAGAGGGGAGATAATGACGGGATAATGGCTCCTCTTAGTGTGTACTCGAGTGAAGACCCGTGGGGGTATACTGGTGGAAAGAAGTCGTGAAGGAGGCATGGGAGGGAGTACGCTACCCGAGGCATAGATACTCCTGACCTGTAGGCAGAAAGGACCTACATGTCCTTACATAGTTGTAGTCTATGTAAGGACAATAAACACTCACTCATTCACTATATTTTGTAATAATAAAATCTAGTGGTTGGTATTTACATCAAAGCATATAAAAATACTAACACCAAAATTAATGAGAGATAAGTGACGTGTATTCTACACATCCATGTCTTTACCACAATCGGAAGCACCAACTCCAACACTACGTATCTTTCTTGAGAGGTTTCTTGGATCTATCACCAACACACATGTGTTTGGCTTTATATTCCTGGCTCACATATCTGTTTGTATATAGATCTACATCTACAGGGATCTTAACCTATTGTTGCGCCACGGTTATTTTAGGTTTACCCGAATTTACTCATAACATGACTCGGATCGGAGAAGTTAATGCTGATACGTGATGCATATCAAGGAAAATATCTTTTTGTTCGGATTTTACACATGTCATACTTTGAATTGGGTTTACATTTATGTTTCCGATGATATTCTCATCTTATCTGTCCTGAGCACGGTTTGGTATGTTTCGGTGGTAGCATTATTGCCAGCGAGTTATCTAGTAGGGTTTCATGTGAGGAAAACTACGTATTTTAGATACTCGATAGCCAGGGAATAGAGAAGCAACCCTTCGATGATTTGTTACCTTCTACTTCCATTTCCAAAATAGTCCAACACTTATAATCCATGGAGATTGATAAATACTTGTCAAAAACCAGAGTAAATAGGGAGACTATTCTCAACACCTGTCAGTGATGTATCCTACGAACCTCCAGCTCTCACTGAAAAGTCTGCAGAGCCGAGATTGAGTAACACCGTCCACATTTTCATGAGGAGTCCCAATCGCTTTTGCCGTCTGTATCGTCTTCATCTCTCAACACATTCCCCTATCACCATTATCATGAAGCTAACTTCGATCAGATCAGATGGGAGGGTCGGAGCCCTACTCATCACCAACCCTTGATCATGTACGAAAAGCCATCCGATGAGTTTCCGGAGCGTACCCAGCACCCGATACAGAGATGGTGGATTGGATCAAGTCGTCCTCGACTGTTACAAAGAATGGAGATATAGATGAATCGGCACACCTCATGTGGTCCCGGTGTCTAGGTCTCTTTTTTTTTAATTCATACTGTATTAAGTTACGACCTCGCCTCAACCTGGTTCTAGGTACAATAGCGTGAATACATGTGGTACGTGCACGTTAGAATACAGTCCCTGTCCACATCTAGATACTCTCCCATAGCCAATCAACTTCTTTCATCTCTACATTAGAGCTGCCTTCCTGCCACTTTCTCTTCTCGTGCTTTATTCAGCCATTTAACTGTGACTAATTTATTGAGAAATAAGTCTAATGCATTGCAATTCCAGGATCCTCATGACCATTGTTATGGGTCTGAGTTGTCATCATTAGCCAGGAGTTAGGAGAACAGGAGAGCAGGATACCCTGTACAATTAGCTTGTTTATCACGTGGTTATTGGGTTGTTTTGTTAGCGTACACGGACCCGCACTCAAGGTTTACATCTTGAGTGTTGGATCCATTTTCATAAAACAATTTTTTATAAACTCCAAACGAGTTGATTTCATAGACAAGTCTACCTTCCATGTTTTATATAAGAACTCCTTAAAGTGATCATTACACAATATAAGGTCTAAGGTTCTAATATAATTGTATCTCTTGTAATATCATGTTTCTGGGTAACACGGCATTGATTACCAGCCTCACACAACCAGCCCAGCAACAACTTACCTTGTGTGGCATATATTGCATGTCTCAGTATTGGCGCAGCCAGTACAATCCTCACGTACCTCTCCCGTAACAGAATGGCTGGGCCCATACTGCTGGTTCTTGTAATTTTTTAGATAAACGATCCTTTCACAGCACCAGTGGTCATGAAGTTTGCCAAAAGGCCAACATTATTCAGTGTTTTTGAAGTTGGTGCCACTTGGTATGAAATACCATCATTAACATGAAATATATAGACCTTGTCCATTCATTATTCAGGCTCATAGTTTGCCAGTATTGGAAAATTTCTCATTCAGAATAAGCGGCGTGCCATGGCCCATTGTATTTTAATAATTGAATTGTAACCTAGTCTGATACCAAGGGGTTTAATCGATAATTCTCCCCTATCCCTCTCATATTCTTCAATTTCCCAATTCGCATGACTAGGAGGGACTGATCAGTAGCCTAATCGTTTAAGCGTTCATGCCAAGTTCAGCCTGGAACGAAGGTTGGTAATGTTACGGCATTTAATTGGTTTTGTCGCCGTGATATCGTGTAGTTTTCACGAAGACTAGTCACACTGGTACGTGAAGAGCTATGCGTTGGCACGAGGCAAATTATTTTCGACAATTAAAATGAGCCCGTTTGGCTCTGTTCACTGATTAAGATTGTCAGTCATACCAACCTTGGCCAATATTATGAATAAGGAGGTAATTACAATTTCCAGCACACATGGGTGATAACTACTTCGGCGATTATCAAATTGCGCTCTAAAGACTACGCCCACAACTCGCCCGGTTTCTGTGAATACGACAAAATCGACATGGTTGTCTGGTATTAAATTTAGTTGTCATAAAACTCGAAAGGTATGCAACTTTTAGGGATTCTCCCATTACCGTCAATAGGATAGAACCATTTATCTCCGTTGATATTGTAATTAAGTTCATGAAAATATTCGGGGTATCCATGGGAAAAATTCCAATCATCTAAACCTTGTTTGCCTATCCGGGCTTTGTTCTCCAGAGTATTCTTGTCGTGCCTCCGACCATCTGGGCACGATTAGCTAAATGCTTGATTAGGGTTGGGTACGGGAAGGAACTGCGCATCTGGAAGGAGCTGCGGATAGACTATATTCGACATCGAATTTACAGGCGCTAAAATGCTACATAGCATTGTGACCCCGCTGATGCTGAGGAACTTCATTATCAGGTAGTGAATCTGTGTATTTATTTGGAATTTCACTTCTTCAATTACTATCGTGACAAGACTGGTAGAAATAAAGGTAAGAATTAAATAGATCTATCGAGAAACTAAAAATCCGGATACTCTTCATGCTTTATAGATCAAGGTGCTGCTTGGCAATATCAGTCTTGAAAGTCTGAATTGTGGCGATTATGAGGCATTAGCTGTGTTCATTTAACAATGGACATTGGGAATTACTTCATCTATCCAAGAACTTAAATTGCAAATTTCCACTTATCTTCTACAGCCAGGTCTCCACGCGGAAAAGTGCTTCATTACTGTGCATTGTGATTTGAGAGAATAAGATTGTTTTGCGTAATATGGTCCGAGAAAAGACAAAGACGATTCAGGACCAGGCCGCCCTGTAGCCCATTGACCCCTAATCCATTGGCACCATCTAACTGTCACAGTCTAAGCATAGGCACTTGAGCAACCTTATGGTCAGAGGTAGTTTATTTTCAATCTATGGTGAACTACAGATTGAAGAGGATAATAACTGTTACTTTATACATGATTATTATCCAGGCCAATGACACAGTTTTCTATCCGTATATCCGTATGCCTTTTTGTATACCTTTTCGTATACCTTCTCGTGCCCTATTCTTGGAGGTGTTTGCCAAGTTGTAAGACCCTGCTTCCAAGAATAGTCCCTGCCTAGTTTCATGCTAAGCCTACGTTAGACAGCGCAGGCTACAGGCAATTACCGGCTTACAAGCCGTCACACTAACAAGGTTGAGTGGTGATTATATTTCTGGAATTCATAAGAGAGGCCCGTTTCCGATGGGAACGATGGCTGTTTTGTTCAAAGAAAGAATGGGTTGTGGATAATAGCTGCCCATGACCTAGTCAATCCACATTGTGACTTTTGAAGGAGAAACCTCGACAGCCGCGATGTCCACAATTGTTTGAATCTTCTCGCCTAAACAGGAATCGACCGTGTAAGCTTGAAGAGTTCGCATACAAAAATTACCAGCCTACAAAATTGATTACTACCTCCTACTAACTGGCCAAAAAAGATCCCTGTTACTGCAAAATGCAATTCCGTGGCATCTTCACAGTAAAAAAAGCTTCCTTGCGACAAAATGGAATAAGGGCTAGCCATAGGAGTTATGGTTGGATTAGAACCATCAAGAAGTTATCAGAGGAGGTGCTTTTCCCGAACATTGGTATCAGATACCTGGAGAAAAGCGTGCCATTGTCCCAGGTAAAGACTTGAATTAAAAAGACTGGGAACTCTCGGGCCAAAAGAAACCAAGAGATTCACCGAGACTGATCTCCACCTGTTATGAGCTCTCTAGCCTGTCCAAACGGTGCCCATCATTACACCAAAGCCTAATAACTTGTATGGAATTCAGTATTGTTTACAATTAGGGCGATTCATGGTACATTTCGCAAATTTTACGCCTTCGAGTGTCAGAATTATTGCAGAATGGAGTAGGCGCTATTTCCTCAGAAACAGAGAGTTTGGCTAAAATGTCGCACTCACATTGCTAACGAAGGAGTTATCCTCGCAAAATACTCTCTAATAAGGTTTCGTAGTGGCTCAACTTTCGTTTCAAGATAGTTTACGCGTTGCAGTTATGGCAAGGATCTGGCAAAATGTTCGAGTGGGTAGAAATGGATAGTTATTTGGTTCTATACATTATTGTGCCTGTTTATCACTGGAATCTCGATTACTTCTTGAAGTCTAATTAAATTGTGCTGGTGTTGAAATTATGGAGTACAGAGATAAGTCAGGTTACAGTTAATAGCAATCATCGATTGGGGGGTTGGTTATTGAGTCTTCTATTATTTCTTTGATTAGCAACACTTTTACAATCCTACTAGGCTCGATAATTAGTAGGCCCGACTGACTGGTTTTGTTTTGTTCATTTACGTACTAGGTACAGTGGTATTAGTTTATTGTACAATGAAGTCTATGACCATGTAACTGCTGAAATTGGCGCCACTTGGCAATGAAGAGTCGCGTTAATACGGAACGTAACAAGGTTCTATTTGAACATAGGTAAACTTATGATGAACTATAGAGAGTCACCTATCCACGTCCACCAAAACTTTAGCAGAACCCAGAGCAGTATTGCCACACAAGTAAGAAGCGAGCACGTTGGGCTCAATGCTCACTTGTACAGAGGGAATGGGCCAGGGGTAGAAAACTATGTTGACAATGTGGATATCCATCTCAAAATATTAAGTATATGGTGTTGTGTTGTCCAAGATGGGCAAAGGGAATAGGTGAGTTGCTACGAAGATCGACAACCCGATCTTTCGAAGCTATGGTAAATAACATCAACGATATGGCTAGAATTGTACAGTGAATTCAAAAGTAAGGATGGCTAGAACAGTTTCGACTGACGCTTGAAGTCGAGGCCACGACGAGGGAAAGAGAGGAGAGAAGGGGAAAGATAATCTCCTGCTAGTAGCTGTTGGAAAATATACTCTGTACAATATTATATGGATAAATATGATGAAGTAAAGAAGACTTGATATTTTACAACTATGAGATTATTGGACTTATACGTCTAAGGGAGAAATTCCCACATAGTCTCATGTGCCTGTTAACCCTAGTGATGACCAGCCACCTCTATTCTTCCATGATGAGCCAAGGTCACTGTCACGGGACCAAGGACCATATTAGGTTAGTGTGAAGTGTTTGGGTATTTGGTTGTTTCTTGTGTGCATAAACATCTTTACTATCCCATTGCACAACACAGACATATCCTTATTACTTATCCTGATTACTTACCCTTGTGACTTATTCCTGTTACGCATCCAGCAAACTAGATCAACCGTTGTGACACTTTGTGGGATCTTTATATTGTGTCTTGTCACATTAAAGCTCAAAATTTTTTTTATCAATTTTTTTCCAGCATGGTGTCACGGCGTAGAATAGGCACAAGTGAAAGTACAGCTTGTATGGCGATAATTCAATCTGTGAAGCAAATACTAAGCTGGAGAAGAATAGAAAAGAATAGGATCTCATTACAAAAAGCCCTGAGGCTATTCCTATTCGGGCGGGTTTCCACTAAATCGCCGCGTCCGTGCTCCTTCCTGCATCAGCCATCAGTCTCACATCTTCCCTCCACGTAATTGTATATCATGGCGGAGCAGAATGCCGTGCCGTGACACATGGCTTCTAATTCCCAGAACTCCCAGATTATTACTGCATTCTGACAAAGCTGGCCGAATCTAATTACCGCAGTTGAGGAATACCAGTTCCCAGAATATTTAAATCCCGTCCCCCTACTAAGTACAATAGCCTCCACCACTAGTAGCCCGAGAAGATGATGTTTTGTAGTTTACTCAGTTGTTTTGATTCCGGGTTTAGTGCTTTAAAGGCACGATTAGATGCAAGGGATATTAGGATTTCTGAGCTCAATGTGTAATTGACACAATTACGTCATCAAGTTGCAGAATAACAAGGCTCAATTGGCCTCGCAAACCAAGAGGTGCCTAACCTAAATCAGACAATCACAACAAAGAATCAGCAACCTGAATACTTGTTGGAAATCTAGACTCAGCATGTATGAAGGTTTAGATTTCTGAGTATGATCATCAAGATCAATTGAGTTGATTCGATTGAATATGATTAAGCTCATTTAGGCAATATAAAGTTCAGTGGAGAGTGCAGGCGACACTATAAACACCGCCATATTTGGATGGTGCGGTGGTACATCGTCTTCGCCGGTCTGCCAAGTAAGGTTTGGATAGCTTGGACACATCCCACTCAAGACAGTAGATCGCTGGTTCAAATCCGGCAAAACACAACCACATTTCTCGCGGCTGTAACGGCTGGTAAGCCGATTGGTTCCTGTAGCGCATGTTGGCCAACATGAGCCTAGCCTGATATTGGTAGCGCACGATTGATCGACATCAATGTGTGGATATATGATGCCACTCAACAGAATATCAAGGCATCGGCATCTAGTTCGGCAGGGCAGCAGTATTGGACCATACAGCTACAACACATGTGAAGAATCCCATTGGAACCGAGAGGGAGGGACTGTGCCTCAACCACATAGACAATGTATATATAAGTATAGATAGAGACTGAAGTAGTTTTCTCTTCAGAATGATAATTTACATACTATCAACCACTTAGTTGCACCAGCGCCTGTTCCTTGATCCGTGACATATTATCATTCTCCCCATTCCAAATACCACCTAATAAGGTGAAGAAATCTAGACGACGACGACGACGACGACGACGAGGAGAGCCAACAGCTAACTCCTAAGACGAAAGTATAAGAGGCCGAGCCCTTTACACGACGACGACAAGCTTATCTGCGATCAGTTAAGAGTTGATATCAGCAACCCGTTATCAGAAGCTAGCCAGTAAGAGAACAAGTTTAGGGCTGGAATATAACAAACCTGCAAAAATGACATCTAACTTGGCAGCACAAAAAGAAATCGACGATAGGTATGAGCTGAGCATTTCCTACCTGCAAGAACAGATTGATGCTCTGACTGCTGAGCGAGCGGCAAATACTTTGCCAGAGACCTCTAATAAGGTAGTGATAATTAAAAACCCGCCGGCGGACAACGTGTTCGGCATTAAACCAACTACGCTGCCCGTGTACGAGGGAAATCGACAGAGCTATCCAGCATGGAGGCGAGCAGTCTTGAGCATTTTTCGAATGGACTGGAATACGTTTAATTATGACAACCAAAGAGCATTCTTGATGATATATAACGCATTGAGAGGTGAAGCGCAACGAAAAGCTGTTTCATTTTTTGAAGTAGGAGG